TCACACTCACACAAACACACACACACACACACACACACAAACACACACACGCACATACACACAAAGATACACCCCCCACCACACACACAAACACACACACGCACATACACACAAAGATACACCCCCCACCACACACACACATACACACGCACCTAAACACAGAGATATACACCACACACACTAAAAATCACACACACACACTTATTCACACACATACACACACGACCCGAACAGAAACAGTCAAAAAGTTATGGGGCATACGAGCAGTGTGATAGACACGTATCGGCAGACGACACGACAGAGTAGCTGCCAACCACCTACACACATAAGAGGCACAAAGTAAAGAAAACACTCCCGCCTTCACCATGTCAGTGAGGATTTTACGGTACTTGTAAAACAATAAAGTCGAATAAATGCCGAAGATTAGAAGTATTACAAAAGAGTAACAAACGCAAAAAAAGGAGGAGAGAGAGAGAGAGAGAGAGAGAGAGAGAGAGAGAGAAGGACGATAGATGTTAGATAGAAAAGAAGTAGCAGACCACACCAGAGCACCCGCCAACCAACCAGGCTTGCGAGAGACGTGACGGACAAGTATCGGCAGATGACACGACGCAGAACCAGGCCTTACGTTTTAGTGGGAGTTTTACGGCACTTGAACCATGATAAGGTCGAATAAGTGCAAAAGATTAGAGCTGTTACAAGAGAGTAACAAACACAAAAAGGAGGAGGCGAGGGAAAGACGATAGAATAATAATATGTTTGATAGGAAAGAAGGAGCAAACCACACCAGAGCACCCGCCAAATATACAGGCCTGCATACGAGCAGAGTGACGGACAATTAGTATCGGCAGACGACACGACAGAGTCAAAGCTTACGAGCAGTGTGACAGGCAATATCGGCAGACACGAGACAGAGTAAAAAACCTGCCAGAAGCGTGACGGATAAGTATCAGCAGACGACACGACACAGAAGCAGGCCTGCATACGAGTTGTGTGACGGACACGTATCGGCAGACGACAAAACCAAAGCTTTGCGCCGATCACCGACTGGCGGGCTTCCGCAGCGCCGTCCCCCATAGCAACCGGTTGTTGACAGTGTCACAGAGGCCCTAGCGACAGCGGCCCACCACGGGCCACACACAGGCACACGCTCACACACACATACACACACACACACACACACACACACACACACATACACACACACACACACACACAGACACACACCAACGGTCGAGAGTCCTGTCTGTGATTACAAGTGGTCTGGTAGGGTGTAAGAAGTAGGTTTATATGTAGAAACTGGTACATTCCCAACACTCGGTATTACGCAGCCTATAGCCTTGGTTTGGTTTCAGCAGGCGTTTTATGGCACTTGCAACACAAACAGGTGATAAAACTGCCCAGGATTGTTATTTATTTTAGTAAGCGTTTTACGGCACTTGCAACACAATTGGGTCACATAAGTGCCGATTATTAGAGGTGTTACAAGAGAGTAACAAACACACAAAAAGGAGGCGGGATAAGGACGATATATTACAACGTTTTATTGGAAAGAAGGAGAAAACAACGCTACAGCATCCGCCAACCACCCACTAACTGGCCAAGATTAGAGGTGTTACTCGA